ATATATATATTTTACATAATGTCATTATCTAGGTTATTCCCTTTTATATCTTAGCTTTTCTCGAATTCAACGTAAAAGATAAACTTTTGGGCCATGCACTTCACATTGTGCTTTTAACGGGTAGATCAACGGAACGTCCAAGGCTTTTAACAGGCCTTTATTGGGCCTCTATTGGGTCATCATCATATCCTTCTTATGGGCTTAGTGAAACATAGATACGCATTGCGCATGTTAGACATACATACATACATGCATGATGATCATATTCATACATACATCATGGTAGGATATAGCATAAAATGGTGGGGTTGGAATCCTTTGTCAACTTAAAATGATGGAATAAAAAAAATAATAATTGCATCGATGAAATGAAATACTTCATATTCATTATTATAATACTATAATTAGTCTTTATCGGTCCAAAAATTATAGAGAGAGAGAGAGAGAGAGAGAGGGGTTATTAATGGTTTCTTAACTCGCTGAGCTGCTCCCACATGGCTGTATTTAACGTCGATAGAATTCTATATTTTGGATTGTTTATTTTTCTTTTATTATTTTAAAAGCTGAATTAGAAGTGTTGTTATTTTTAAAACCAAAAGATAATTTATTGATTAGATTATGCCTTTTCATTAAATTAATATGTTGTCATTTTGACCTTTTTCACACCGAAAGATGGAAAAGTTGGTGTTGGGTACTTTTTATTTCACCATACTACTATATTGTAACGTATGTTATTATACATCATATGTGTATGTTTAAATCATATAAAAAATTAAACGGTATACTGTTACTGTGTTACAAATTAGAAACGATGGAGCTACAAGATACACACATTTTTGTCCAAAAAAAGCTCATTTGAAATGAATATCCATTTATATGGGGGTTCGAATCCTGCCGTCTTCCTTCCTCTGACCTGTTCGCCTGTAAGCCTATCATAATAGGCTGATTTACCTCCTACACGTGTATTGCAGGCTCGTGCGCGTGGGTTTGGGGTTTGACCCGCAGGCGCCTAAGCCCAACTACGGCCCGAGCGTTAGGCGCGTCTGGTGGCCAGGTAGGGATGTCAATTGAGTTGGCCCAACCCATTTGGGTCCAATCCATTTGGATTCGAAGGATAAACGGGTTGGGTTGGGTCGATCCGTTAATAATAGTAGATGAGTTGGGTCGACCCATTAAACCTGTATAAACCATATAAATCCATTTTTATATTCACAAATTACTTATATACATATAACTATTAATATGTATATTCATATAACCTAGAAATTATCATTTTAATATTCGATTTGGTTTATCCATTCAATAAAAATATATATATAACTGGATATTATATTATATTCGATAGTTTATAAGCAAAATTATATATTTCTTTAAAAAAAAATAAGATTTTTTTATTTTTTAAATTCGATTCGATGTTTTCAAAATATTGTCGTTTAGATTTTTTGAACGGGTCGGTTCAAAAACGACACCGATTTTTTCAATATGATTCGATTCATAAATGGTTCGAGTTTTTCGGTATGATACGAATTTTCGGTACGATTCGATTCGGAATAGTACCGAGTTTTTTTTATACGATTTGAATTTTTTGGCACAATTCGATGCGAAAACGACACCGAGTTTTTTGATACGATTCGATTCGGAACGGTACCGAGTTTTTTATATGATTCGAATTTTTCGGCAAGATTCGATTCGGAAACGACACCGTGTTTTTTGGTACGATTCGATTCGGAACGGTACCGAGTTTTTTATACGATTCGAATTTTCCGACACGATTCGATTCGGAAACGATATCCAGTTTTTCGGTACGATTCGATTCGGAACGGTACCGAATTTTTTTATACGGTTCGAATTTTCCGGCATAATTCAATTCAGAAATGACACCGAGTTTTTCGATATGATTCGATTCGGAAATAAAACCAATTTTTTTTTGTTCGATTCAGAACGGTATCGAGTTTTTATATGATTCAAATTTTTCGGCACGATTTGATGCGAAAACAAAACATAATTTTTCGGTACGATTTGATTCGAAAACGATACCAAATATTTCGATTTAATTCGTATATATATATAAATATCTATATATGTTAATTTTTATATATCTAAATATAACAATTTTAATTAGTTAAAAGATGAGTTTAATTTTAACTAAATATATAATGATGAATTTAATAGGTTAACCATTTAACCCATGGGTTTAATGGGCCAAAACCCATTTAACCCATTTTAAAAAATTAACCAAATGGGCTAACCCATTTGGGTTTATAAGTGGGTCGGGTTGAGTCGACCCGTATAACCCGACCCATTTTGACATCCCTATGGCTAGGGGTGTAAAATGGGCGGGTCGGGCCGGGTTCAATTCGGGCCTAGAATTTTTCAGGCCGGGCCGGCCCGCCCATTTATTTTTCGAGTCCAGGATCGATGGCCCGGAGCCCGGCCCTACAGGGTTTCGGGCGAGTTCGGGCCGGGCTTCGGGCTTTTTCTTAAATAAAAATATTTTTTTTACGATAATAATAATAATAATAATAATAATAATAATAATAATAATAATAATAATAATAATAATAATAATAATAATAATAATAATAATAATAATAATAATAATAATAATAATAATAATAATAATAATAATAATAATAATA